AAGAAATTATAGAGAAACAAGAGAGAAAGCATCAAACACCAAGTTTGTGCAAATCAAGCCAATTTTCCTTTCAATATTCATTTTGCTTTCAAGAACACCATTTGTGCTCATTTGTAATTATCTTTGAGTGTTCTTTTCTTGTTCTAGAATTGTGCAAACATCTTACCTTGTGAGTTTGCAAATTTGTAATCTTCTCTTTGGGAAAGAGTGTTCTCAAGAATTGGGGTATATTCTTGAGGGTGTTGTAAGGTTATCTCTTTGGCCTCAAAAGAAAGAACAAATTAGTGAATTTGTTGGAAAATCCTTAGTGTGGATAGCTAAGGTAGTGGACGTAGACTTTGATTGAGAAAGTCGAACCACTCTAAATCGCTGTGCAATTACTTTCAATTTTCTGCAAAAGATTCCACCAAATTTTTAATTGCCAATTCACCCCACTCTTGGCCAAATCCGTCAATCGATTAAATCAACAATTGGTATCAGAGCCTAACTCATTTGAAGGTTTAATCGCCTCTTGAGTTGATTCGAGAAGAGTTATATCGATAATCAAAGTCATCAATGGCCTCCGCTTCAAAATTCGACTCCGGTCTCGACTCGATGCCCGTCAACAAGCCTCCTTTCTTCAATGGAGCTAACTATGCCTATTGGAAGAATAGAATGATGTACTTCATTCAAGCAAGTGACATGGGAGCATGGAATGTTGTAGAAGAATGATACATCAAACCTCTCACTCATCCAAGGTTGTGGAGTGAAGGAGAGACAAGAATGTTCCAGCTCAACTCCAAAGCCATCCATATCATTTTTTATGCTCTTGGACTAGATGAATACGGAAGAGTTTCATCGTGTACAACCGCCAAAGAAATATGGGACAAATTTCAAGTCACTCATGAAGGTACCGATGAGGTAAAGAAATCTAAAATTAGTATTCTAATGCATAGCTATGAAAATTTCAAGATGAAACCAAATGAAGATATCAAAGCTATGACGAATAGATTTTCAACGATTGTCAATGGTCTCAAATCATATGGAGAGATCATTTCAAATGAAAAGCTTGTGAGGAAGTTAGTCTACTCCCTCCCAAAATCGTGGCAATCAAAGAAGACGGCAATCATCGAGTCTAAGGACTTAACGTCCTTAACTCTTGAAGAGCTAATTGGGTCACTCCTCACTCATGAAATGATGCTCGAAGATGAGGTGGACCTCGATAAAATTGACGAGACGCCAAAGGAGAAGGAGAAGAAGAAAAACATTAGAGTTGCTCTCAAATCCACAAAAGATGAGAGTGATTCGAATAACGATGACGATGACGAGGAAATGGCATTGTTTGCCAAACGGTTCAGAAAAATGATGAGACCTTATCGAGGAATAAAATTCAAACGAAATGAAGGCCTCAAAAATGAACCGAAAGAGAATGACCCAATCATTTGCTACAAATGCAAAAAGCCAGGGCATGTTAAATATGATTGCCCACAATTGAAGAAAAAGGGTCAATCAAAGAATAAGCACAAGGCTCATGTGGCTACATGGAGCAATGAGAAAGTTTCGATGAAGAGGAACAAGAAGTAGCTAACTTGTGCTTGATGGCATTTGGGGAAGATTCTAAGGTAACCTCTAACTTATCCGATTTTGATGATTTATCCTATGATGAGTTATTAGAGGAATATAATGGGTTGGCTTCGGATTATGAGAAATTATTTTTAAAATATAAAAACGATGTTTCAAAATTGAAAAATGAAAACAAACTCATATCCAAAACCAACAACGATCTTGAAAGTAAAATCAAAGATTTGCAAATCAAACTAGAAGAGTTTGAAAAGAAAAATTTAGATTTGCAAAATTTACTTTCAAAGATCAATGATGATCATCAAAAGAAAATTGATGATCTTAAAACTTCTTTTGATAAAGTTGGAACAAATCATTTTGAAAAAGGTGGAAATTCAAAATCCAACTTTGTTAGAAAAAGTTTTAGAAACTACAATCATAGAGGTCCCCAAAGAACCTCTCACTACAGCAAAACATAGTTTTAGCAGCGTTTTTTTAGTCTTATAGCGGCATTTTTAAGCGCCGCTAAAAGTATTTACGGCGATAGGAAAAACACCGCAAGAAGCGCCGGCAATACCAGCGCCGCTAAAGTTAGCGGCGTTTGAGAACAAAAAACGCCGCAATAGGTCAATATCTATTACGGCATTTTTTGAACAAACGCCGCAAAAGGTCGATATCTATAGCGGCGTTTTTGGAATAAACGCCGCAAAAAGTTATGATATATAGCGGCGTTTCTAGAAAAAAATGCCGCAAAAAGTCAGATCTATAGCGGCGTTTTTGGATACAAACGCCGCAAAAGGTTAGACCTATAATGGCGTTTTTGAACACAAACGCCGCAAAAAGTCAGACCTATAGCGGCTTTTTTGGATACAAACGCCGCTAATTATCTTTCTTTAGCTAATATTAATTGATTTTGCATATTTCATTTATACTATACATCACCTAAATTTATATCTAGCTTTATCTAATTAACAACAACCATACATTTTAATTAAGACAAAAAACATAAAGAAAAATATTTAACAACAAAATAAATTAAAGTTTTTTATGGAGAGAGAACCTTAAAAGATATTAAAGTACAAATGAGTTATAACTGAACCTCAAAGTGTAGATATACATGGATTTGTTGTTCAATACATCCTCAATTTCACTAGTATCATCATCATAACCTCCAGATATGCCTTCTAAAGCTACTTTGTTTCACACTTCATTGGAATTTGTCATATTCATCGTCTTGACATCTTATTTGAAAGTATCATTTGACAGTGAATGATCTCTCCTCAATAGATTAAAAACAAATGGGAAACGCTGTGCCAGTCTATTGAAGAAGCCGTTTTTTGTTGAAGTTTGTTCTTCAAGATTACTGCAATTACAATAATTTAGATGAGACTAAGAAGAGAAGGAAACAACCAGCAGAACTTGCATTCATAACATACATGTGAGTGATTGAGAACTGAAAAAAGATGTTGCAACAAACAACAAAAATAGGAAGTCAGGAACCATGAAAACTAAAATATATTCTACATAAGAATGTAAAAAATGTCATCATAAAGAAAAAATTTAATAATGTATTGGTTGCCATCTTACTTTTAGAAGTTAGAATTCTCACCCCAAGAATCTGAGCAAGTTTGTATTCTTAGAAAAGTTAAGGAAATACAAAAGAGGGATAAGCAATGAAATCTTATAATTTTGGATCAAGAAAGCATGCATGTCTAAGTCCCTCAAAGTTCATAGGGAAAACCCTAGTAGGTTCAATCATTTCAAGATTGCTTCATGTGCATTTTGATCCTATTCATGATCAGTAAAATAAACAAATGAATCAAGGAACATATATTTCAGTTATAACTTTGTACTATAAGAATTTTAGACGATAAAAAGAACTCAAAAAGTGAAGAAGATGGGTTTTAGACAAATATATTAATAGATTATCTACAACTGTATTTGTTTCCTCTGCAGACAAATGCAAGCATGAATTTTGGCGGCACATGACCTGCAGTCCAAATAATCACATTCTTATCATCACAGAAGAAACTACATCACAATGATAAGACGAAAAACAGGAACACATGCATCAGCACTACGATTTTCATTGTATGCAATGGTGAGCAGTGATACATATCAAATCAATTTTAATAAAATGTATGCAGATTAACCAATCAAACAGCCAATAAGTGAAAAAAATCTAGATTGAATTTGAATATCTCAAATGAATGTAATGAAGATGAATATATGGTAGACTAAGACAATTTTGACGAGGATGTTAATACATAGGCTTCATTAACATGGTTGGTTTACCCCAATGCAGATGTCAGAATTTCTTTAGCAAACATGAATTTAAAAAGATTATTCCTAGGGTTTCCAATAAGAATCTACATCATCTCTTATTAGTATAATAAAGTTGACGATCAGCGACAATTTAACAACAAAAGTATGCTACTATTCCATTGTTTACATAAAAGATAAACCAGAGCTCAAACAATAATTCAGAAGCAAAGTGCTATTATTTCACCTAGAAAATATGTTGTGTTGTTTTCTCCTGCATATCTAAATTTAAACGGAACATCGCACAAAGGTGACTAACCCCAAATCAAACTATTCAATAATTCTACGAGAATGACAGCATCGTGATTCAAAGAAATCCTAGGGTAATATATCGTGATTCAAAGCATCGTGATTAGCTTACCCTCTTATATCGCCTTCGATCTTGGATTGTAAGATCTCTGATACCAATCACCTTCTGAAGCTAAACCTTCCCTATTAGAAATGTCCTAGGTGATGGAAGTAATCGGGGTCAAAAGCAGATTTAGCATGCACATGGATTATGAAAATGATAATCACTTGTCAATTTCACTCACAAGATATTGAAGGAATTTAAAATCTCCTGCAATAATTGCGGTCAAGAACCTAGAAACTTTCACCTGCACCAGAAGTCAGACTGGAGAAAGAGAGACAGATACAGAGGGGAAGTTTTGCTAGAGGGGAATAGATTGGGGGTTGGATTCAGACCTCACCTCTTTGAGATGCATGCAGTCCCTTAAAATTAAAACCTCTAGTAGATTCCCACCACTTCCACTTCCCAAATTCCTGGTTACAAGCAGGGAAAAATCTCATTCTGCACGAAATATAAGTTGAAAAAAAACATTTAAAGGGATTCTCCTAGTTATGGTTGAAAAGAGCAGCACATACCTCAAAAATATTCCAGTGATCGAGTAAGATGTCGAAAAATTGGCATATTTAAGTTTACGGAATCCTTGCAAGTAATATGAAGGACTAAACTTCTCAATTTACATTCAGGTCAAATTGATAACAGATATTTATAGACCACTGCTAATTGCAAGTAAAATGAAGGACTAAACTTCTCAATTTTCATTCAGATCAAATTTATAACAAATATTTAAGACAGCTGCTCATTGCAACATAATCTAATAGTATCTCAACTCTTCCAGGCATACAACACCGCCTAAAACAGAACTTAAGATATTTATGCAACCCCATCCTTCCTAATACTTTCAGACCATTGAGATTATATGTCAACCAGAACTTAACACCAAACAAGTGCATACCTTAACAAGAATACAGACTTTATAATCATGCAGTTTAAAACCTCTCAGCGATAAAGAAGAAAGATTAGGACAATTGTTCACGACATCCACACAAGTTTGCGACTTCAAGCTATCATCCCTCCCTGCATTATCATATGAGCAGATATGTAAAGAGCAGTTAAAAGAGACACTCAAGAAGAGAATATGTACCTGTTTTGGAAGACTCAAAGAATAAACGCTCTATCAAGTGACAATTGGAGCTCACTGACATCAAAGTTTGCCTCAACTCGACATGACTGCATCAATCGAAGGTTGATTGAACAATTTTAAGGTTAAACAAAAAATAGAATTAGCTACTCTGCTAAAACCACATTGTCTGAGTACCACAAACAACTGCAAACCAAATTGTGTTAAAACTAACAAAACTCGATGATCAGACAATAATTGCTTTTTTAATTAATATAGAATGTTTTATTCAGTATTCATTCATTCGGATATTTATTAATATTAGTATGCTAATTTACGTTAGTGCACGTAGAAAATGGATCTTTTGTGAGCGTTGTTCTTTGATCAATCATTCCAAATTTTTTCATATTTAGAAACAACTTTTAAGTTATAAGCTTCTACCGCTTGTTATATCATCCAACTGCAACAGCTTAACGCATGCTCAAACCAACAGAAAATAAAGGAAAGGGCAAATTGGTGGGGTCAATAAATGTAAAAACCAACTTAGATAGCGAAACTTACAGGCCGACAATTTCCAAATCAAGTAAAGAAGGGCAGGCAGCTAATGCCACACAAAGTGATGTATTGTCCATTCTTTCAATATTGTAAAGATGCAACCTCCACAAAAGAGCCTTTACAATATGAAAATAGCAAATGATAAGAACAAAAAGAATAACTTATCACATAAACCACATTCTAAACAAGGAGTCAATGTATTCAACCATACCCAGCGGTGCCATTGTCCCCACTTAATGGGTATAAGCAGGTCCTTGTAAGAATAGATGATTCCTTCCCTTGCCTGGTCTTTTTTTCATTCCATGAAAAGCTAGATACATCTACAGAATTCTGGATGGTATAAACCAATGGTTGACAGGAACCCGGAGAGGAAGTTGGGCCTGGTACTATTTCAAGCTTAAGCGATCTAAACAACCATTCAAAACATCGTAATTAACAAGAAAACATAACAACATAAACAACCACATGCAAATAAATGAACTAGCTGATACTAACCCATACTAATCCTTTTCTCTAATAGATAAAACATAAAGGAAACGGCAAAAACACCTTCTGAGTTGCTAATTAATGAAGTTTTCCAAGACATAAGAGATCGATAAGCGGTAATAAGACTTTTAAAATGCAAAAGGAAACTTAAGTATCGGCTTAAGATAATGTATTTATTAGTTAAAAAGAAAGGCAAATTGTAATAGCGAAAAATGAAAGGAAATCTTACCGGAACGATTTCCCAGCTCGTTGGATCATGGTGGAGACAACGGCATTATTAACCTTGGGAACGACAGTGGTAAGGTCAATATTCTCGTAGCACAATGGATCCATAATACACTTGTTAAACATACAACACGTTGTCGCGGCGTAGCAAAGACTCTGCGAATCTAACATAGAAAACACCTGCAATAAAATTTAAAAAAACACGTTATCATCAAAACAAGATTTAAAAACAAAATCAAAGGCCTTGATGAAAATGTGGAAGAATGGAGGTATTTACCTTGATGGTCAGATCAGGAGGGAGGGCCCAGGCGATGGAGTTATGAAGAGAAGCACGTTTACGAGCGGAGCGATTAGCGGCACGGAGGAGGAGGGAACCAATACTGTGAGCGCGATCGATGAGAAGAGCCTGATCAGCGTCGGAAGGAGTGGAATCGAAGAGGCGGTCGAAGGAAAGGTCGAGGGAAACAGGAGGGGAGGAATCGGCGAGAGAGAGGAAAGAGAGGAGGAGATGGTCCATCTAAGTGAAGCGAGAAGGGAGGTTAGGGTTTTCAAAGGAGAATTGGCAACGCCACTATAGTACATGTGTATAACGTTTATATAAAAACGCCACTATAGTACATGTGTATAACAACATTTGTATAAAAACGCCACTAAATTACAATTCTATAGCGGCGTTTGTATAAAAATGCCACTAAATTACGAGTCTTTAGCGGCGTTTGTATAAAAACGCCACTAAAGTACTACTCTTTTGCGGCGTTTGTTGAAAAAACGCCACTATCGATGAACCTATTGCGGCGTTTTTATAAAAACGCTGCTAAAGTTAGCATTTTATGGCGTTTGCTATGTAAACACCGCTATATGTTTAAAATTAGTGGCGTTTACTCCTAAAACGCCGCTAAAATGCCACTGTATAACAATTTTGTTGTAGTGTCTAATGGAAAAATCGTTAGAAGTATGTGGGTTCCTAAAGAACTCATTACTACTAAAGATAAAAATATCCTATACAAATGGATACCTAAGGGGACTAGGATTTTGGAAACTAATGAATATGGACCCAAACGAATTTGGGTACCAAAAATCAAAAATTAATCTATGTTTGTAGGGAAATGAGCATTGCTACAAGGCACGGGAAACAAATTCAAATTCATGGTACCTTGATAGTGGATGCTCAAGACACATGTCCGGAGACAAAAGCCGGTTCATTGAGCTTAACGCCAAAAATGGAGGAGAAGTGACTTTTGGAGACAATTCAAAAGGTCACATTGAAGGTATTGGTACAATAGGTAATACCTCTTCCATACAAATTAAGAATGTTTTATATGTGAATGGATTAAAGCATAATCTATTGAGTATTAGTCAATTATGCGATAAAGGATTCAATGTCTTATTTGAAATTAATGGTTGTAAAGTCATTGACATTGCATCTAATCGGATTATGCTTATTGGTCATAGAATAGGGAACATTTACATGGTGCATTTAGATTCTTTTGATATGACTAATTTATGCCTAGTTGCTAAAGATGAACATGATAGTTGGTTATGGAATAGGAGACTAGGACATACTAGTATGAGTGTTTTGCAACGGCTAATTCAAGGTGATTTAGTTCGAGGGTTGCCTAAGCTTAAATTTGATAATGATAAAATCTGTGATGCTTGTGCTAAAGGAAAAACAAAAGCGTGTTTCTTTTAAATCCATTAATGACGTATCAACTAGTAGAGTATTACAATTGATCCATGTAGATCTTTTTGGGCCAACTAGGACTACTAGCTTGGGTGGAAAACAATATGCATTTGTCTTGGTAGATGACTATTCTAGATATACTTGGGTTCTATTTTTAAGTACTAAAGATGAAGCATTAGAACAGTTCATCACATTTTCAAAAATAATCCAAAATGAAAAGGGTTACTCTATAACTAGTGTTAGGAGTGATCATGGAAACTGAATTTGAAAATCTTGGATTTATTGAATTTTGTAATTCTAATGGTATTAGTTATAATTTTTCAGCACCTAGAACCCCTCAACAAAATGGAGTTGTTGAGAGGAAAAATCAAACTTTAGAAGAAATGGCTAGAACCATGCTTTGTGAAAATAATTTGCCAAAATATTTTTGGGCGGAAGCCACAAATACTGCTTGTTATGTTGTTAATCGAGTAATGATTAGGCCAATTTTAAAGAAAACTCCATATGGAATTTTCAAAAATAAAAAAGCCTAACATTAGCTATTTTCATCCTTTTGGATGTAAATGTTTTGTTTTAAACAATGGTAAAGAAAACCTTGGCAAATTTGATGCTAAAAGTGATGAAGGAATTTTTCTGGGTTACTCCTTAAATTCTAAAGCTTATCGAGTATTTAATAAAAGAACTTTAGTTGTAGAAGAGTCTATACATGTTGTTTTCGATGATAATCCCCTTCCAAGGAAGGATTCTTGTGTGAATGATGATGTAGGTGTTACAAATACAAATGATGTTAGACATGAAGTTGGAGAACCATCATCAAAGGAAGAAACAAAAAATGAGGAAACTCATGATCCTCTTGAGAATCCAACCATTGAAGAAAGGGAAGTATCTTATCCAAGAGAGTACAACTATGTCAAGGATGGTGAAATTATAGGTGATCCATCAAAAGGGGTAACAACTCGATCTTCTCTTAGAAACATTTGTAATTATGTTGCATTTATCTCATGCATAGAGCCTAAGAATATTAAAGAAGCATTAAATGATGAACATTGGATTATGGCTATGCAAGAAGAGTTAAATCAATTTGAGAGAAGTAAAGTATGGACATTAGTTGAAAGGCCTAGTAATAAATCTACTGTAGGTACTAGATGGGTATTTAGGAATAAGCTTGATGAGAGTGGTAATATAGTTAGAAACAAGGCTAGACTTGTTGCTCAAGGGTATACTCAAGAAGAGGGCATAGACTATGATGAAACATACGCTCCCGTAGCTAGGATGGAAGCAATTAGAATGTTATTAGCATTTGCATGTTTTCATGAATTTAAATTATATCAAATGGATGTTAAAAGTGCATTTTTAAATGGTTTTATAAAATAAGAAGTGTATGTGGAACAACCTCCAGGTTTTGAAGATTCAAAATTTCCAGATCATGTTCTTAAATTGACAAAGGCTCTTTATGGTTTAAAACAAGCTCCTAGAGCTTGGTATGAAAGATTGTCAAATTTTTTAATTGAAAAAGGTTTTTCAAAAGGAAAGGTTGACACTACATTATTTTTAAAGCATAAAGGTAAAGATTTATTAGTAGTTCAAATTTATATTGATGATATAATATTTGGTTCTACTAATGATGTTCTTTGCCAAGAATTTTCTAAGCTAATGCAAAGTGAGTTTGAGATGAGCATGATGGGGGAGCTCTCATTTTTCTTGGGACTCCAAATCAAGCAAAGAAAAGATGGCATCTTCATTAATCAAGCTAAGTACGTCAAAGATATGCTCAAGAAGTTTGGACTGGAAAATGGGAAACCTCATGACACTCCAATGAACTCTTCAACAAATCTTGACTTAGATGAAGGAGGTAAATGTGTAGATGTTAAATTATATAGGTCAATGATTGGATCTCTACTTTATCTAACTGCAAGTAGACCAGACATTATGTTTAGTGTTTGCTTATGTGCTAGATTTCAATCATGCCCTAAGGAATCACATTTACTAGATGTTAAGAGAATCTTTAGATACCTTAAGGACACTCCTAGTTTAGGACTTTGGTATCCTAGAGACTCTAGCTTTAGCTTGCATGCTTTTTCTGATGCGGATTATGGAGGATGTAAATTAGATAGGAAAAACACCTCCGGTACTTGCCAATTCCTTGGAAATATGCTGATTTCTTGGTTTTCAAAGAAACAAAATTGTGTTGCATTATCTACCACTGAAGCAGAATATATTTCAGCCGGTAGTTGTTGTGCACAAGTTTTATGGATGAAACAAAAACTTTTTGATTATGGAATTGAAGTAGGTACTATTCCTATCAAGTGTGACAATACTAGTGCTATTTGTCTCACTAAAAATCCCATACAACACTCTAGAACTAAACACATTGAAATTAGACATCACTTCATTAGAGACCATGTCACTAAGGAAGATGTAGTTCTAGAATTTGTTGATACTTTGCATCAATTAGCGGATATTTTTACAAAACCCTTAGATAAGGAAAGGTTTTGGACACTTAGGAGAGAATTAGGTTTAACTGACCTATCTTCACTTAGTGTTTAAAATAATTCAGAACTTTCAATAAATACTGAAAAATGCTCATAAAAGTAATTTTTGATTGCATTCATTGCTATTAGTTAGGGGGAGTTTATGATTCTTGATGAAAAATTAATTTTATGTTCAAATATCGATTAAAGATTAATTTAATTGTTTGAACATAATTATTTTTCAATATATGAGTTGCCTATACCACTAGAGAAGATTAATTTAGCATTTTGTGTGCTTAAAAATCGGATTTTAGCATTTTGGTGCAGAGGGAATCGATCCCCCCATGAGGGAACCGATTCCCCCTTTGAAGTGGAACCGATTCCCCCCACAGGGGAATCGATACCCCCTGGGGTTCTGTTAAAATCGGGCAGAACACCCCAAAATTCCCAAAACCCTTCTTCTATCTTCAAGCCGTTTCTCACCCTCAAACACTCAAATCTCCATTATTGCCTCAAATCATTGATTTTAATCAGAATTCACTTCAAATATCATCTCCTAAACTTGCAATCATCATTAAAATCATGCAAACAACATCTAAATCCCCTCAATCTTCATCTTTCAAGGTAAATTTTCTAAACTCTCTATTTCATTGATTTTGAACATAGGATTAGTTTTAATTAGTTCTAGGTTGAAATAGTGATCGGGCATTGATTGTTTAGTTATTAGAAACTAGATGTTACAACTAATTTCATCAAAAACACAAGAATTTTCCAAAAATTTTAAATTTTCAAAATTAAAAAAAAATTTGTTGTTTTTCAAATTATTGTGTTTTGATTAAATTATGTTGTTGTTATGAAAACTATACATATATTGTTTCTCAAAACCATATTTTTCAAAAGTTTTTCAAAAACTTTGCCCATTAGGATTGATTTAGAGAACTTTGAAATATTGAGGACTCAATTGAGTTTTGGGATTAATTGAATTGCATACATTTGTTTTAAAAATTGCAGGTTATCCAATCTATTCCGATTTTCTTCACCATGTCTAATCCTAAACGTGCTAGGTCTTCATCTAGTCGTTCTAGTCATCAACCAAATCCACCTCCAAATCCTCCTCCTATTCCTCAAAATCATATTCCAAATCTTGATCCTAACTTGACTATCCAAAATTCTTGTTTCAATCAACCGGGTCCTAAAGATTATCGTTATTGATTTTACCAATATTTTAACTCGTATAAGATTAGGGAAGAACGTATCACATCTCTTCAAGCTATGGTTGCTATTAACTTTAAATATATGCCTATCTTGTGCGAATGGAAATTTGATAAACTTTTCGAACTTGAACCCGTTGTCTATCATCAACTTGTTTGTATCTTCTATTGTAATGCCGTTTGTATCAAAAATCGTGACAA